ATAGAGATATGTCTGCAGGGAATCAATGTTCTCAGAGAAATGGGGGGGGAAGCATTAATAAATTTGTCTAGTAGAGCAGGATAGGAGGCATTACTGCACCGGGCTGATCAACTAAATAACATGCTTATTAAAAACAATCTGTAGGAACGTACTATCATTCCTGTTCCTATTTATCTTCTGGTCAACTCAATTGAGATTGTGCATTAAAGCACAGGCAGCATTATTACATTTGCTTTATTAAATTCTATAAACAGCACTGTAAAGTCAGAGTCAAGATATTTATAAGATAATGGCAAACAGCAGAGGCATCGAGACTTGCCTTAACACTAACATTTATAGACTATAATATTTCTTTTCTTAATTGCCGTTCTCACGATACAAACTGTTTCACAAAACTCTTCCCCTAGATCTTTATTTGGTGCTCACTCCAATATGAAATAAACCAAAACAAAAATAGAAAAAACTCCAGCCCCTAGTTCCCTTCTGGGAACGTGGGAAAATTATGAAAGAATTACACAACTCACAGCACTCATTAGGACATCTGAAACGGAATAATTTTAAATAAAGAGTAGGCTGGCTGCAAGGCCTTCCCACACTAGGGTTGATATTAGAAGTGCATCTCATTACATCAAATTAGTATCCAAAAATTCTGCTTAACACATAATTTAAAACATAAAACATACTGGCTGTCAAAGGTAAAGATACCTTACGCCTGCCTGCAGGCGTCCATTAGTTTCAATAGAACAGACAGAGAGAGAATTGAGTACTAGCTACTTTTCGAACAGCCACATTTAACACACACAGAAAGGTACGTAATATTAGGAGGAATCAAGTATTTCTTTGACAGGTGGCATGAGTCCAAACATAGGAACTGAAGCCAGGAATTCTAAACCCAAAATTTATTCCCTCTGGGGCTTCACATAAATCATACAGCCTTTGTTAGCCTCAGTTTCCCAGCCATGATATTTGGATAGTAAGAGAGCTTACCCTTTAAGGATGCTCTGAAAACAATCAATGCTTAGAAACTGAGGCTTATATTCCATTGGTATTCCTATTTACAAGGCATATTCTCCAAGTCAACATGAATTGAAATAGAAGCGAGATTAGCCCAAAAAGTCAAGCAATGCTTCTTTGGGAGTACTCCCTTATTAAAAAAAGGACAAATAAAAGGGTGTAGAAATAGTGAGGCCTAGAGGACAAACAATGAAAAAGTAAAAGCTGGGTTAAAGAAAGAAGTTGAAAATGTATTTTTGCCTATTACAAAAAAAAAGAGAAAAGGTTAACAGTAGAAACAAAGTGCTTTTCTGTTTTATTTTGTTAAGAAAGGAAAGCATGATGCCTCATAGTGCAGAGAATAAAACTTCTGGGACCAAATTCTACCCTATTTACACCCAGACTACGCTGTAAAATTGTGCAAAGACCTTTTTCTCTCCTCTAAATTGCCTCTCCAAAGAAGGGTGTCTTGCATCTCCTTTAGCCATCTATGCAAAGTAGAAAGGTGTACAGACTTCCAAAGCAAGGTAATATATCTCTGTGTCAGTGGAAGGGCAACACGTACAAATCAGTATTTATGTTTATTCATAGTAACCTACACAAATGCTTGCAATAAGGTAAATGCTTAGAATCCATCAGGCATCAATACATGCTATAGCCGATGTAAGTCAGCTACTTCTACCAAAAAGCAAATTTTTTAATTCCATAAAAATATAGATAAATACAATTTTACTTCTTATTCAGGCTTCCACATTTCTCTAACACTAGACAAGCACACCACCAAACGTCACTCAGTTTCTGAAACTATATACATCTAGTTTTCCATTGTGTTAAGAGCTCTGGATCCACTGATCGCGTCATTATGATGGTAAGATCCTGGTGCGTTTTTTACTTGTTTTAAATCACGAATTTCCTATTTCCCTAAAAAGAGGTGGGCTTTGTCGTTTTACTATCAGATCAAATAAACCCTGGCTTTATAAAAGAAGGGGACATTTGTGATACCTCAGTGAGGATTGCGCTGGATGTATAAGTATAGCAGTAGCATGTGGGATTATTTTCTACATCCTACATCTGGGTAAGGACTTGAAGCCATTTATCTGGATGCAGATACGTACTCATGAACCATCCTTTTGCAAACATAAACCATGCCTTTGGAAGCCTGGATTACTAAAATGGAGTAAAACTTTAGGTCAAGCTGGAAAAGTAAAACACATAAAAGGCAAAAGTCTGTCTATATAATAGAAATTCCAAGTAACTACTAGTCCACAATCCACACTGGCTGCATATTGACATCCAGTCTTAATACAATGTCATTTAATTTGACCTACACAGCTTCAGAATTTCCCAACATGACAGAAGACCTCTCTCCTCCCACCAGCATTGCCAGGGACACACACTACCACCCTCAGGGGCTCCCAGACTATAAACATAGACACCGGTTTCTTCACAGATGGTATTCCCAGTTCCTCTGCTCCCAGATCATGCTAGGTCAGTCATAGCATTCACAGAACTGAGCTGGCCAGTACAGCCAAGATTAAGCTCAGGAAAGTCTTTTTAAAGGAAATGAATGACCTTTTGATGTTGAAACAAATAAATAACTAAAAAACAACACCTGCAGGACCAACACCCTTGGATAAATCTAGGGCGATTGGGTAGAGATATATGAGCATTTCTAAAATGATAAATGGCTTTGATGCTTAGAATTTCAACTACTAACATCAGTTCTTTCAAGGAAAACTCAGGCAAAGTAAAATGAAACAAAGCATCATCACACTCAGATTCAAAGACAGGTAATAGGGGATTTACGCTCTCTGCAGATCAATGGAACTTGAGTGATACTTGAATTTGGAGACTTCCCTTCCAAACATTCTCCCTCTTTTCGCATCACGGTATTATGATCAATGCAGTTTCTCACTTTGATGTTTTGGCAACAAATGCTTTGTGCCTTGGTCCTATTTTAATGTTGCCATAGAGGTAACAGCAACAGAAGTGAGTGGGGGAAGTTGAGGCTTCTTCAGCTCTGTGGTAGCTACGAAGATTTCAACAGGAAGAACTGAAGAGACATGGAGATTAGCCGATGCAGGGAGCAATAAAGTGACAGTTTTGATTTCAGAGAAGATGACAGAAGAGCTTTACATTCTCTCAACAAACCACAGACACAGAAGTGATTTCAGCTACTTGGAAATGTGCACAACAACAAAGTTATCTTAAGGTCTCCCAAAAATCAAAAGCCCCAAGAATACAATGAAAAGCATGTTTGTTTCTGCTGAAAAGATTATCAACAAGTTACACAATAAAAATGGCATTAAAATAAAATCCAAAACAAAAGTGCCAATGTTGACACAATTTCCTACAGAAACGTGTTTCTGCTTCCCTTTCCCTCTTACTTGCCAATACAAAGAAATCATATAGCACTATTGTATGGCAAAACACTGGGCTTTCCTGTAGAAATCTATCCAGTCATATTTTCTATGGTTGTATAAATCTCACTGCAGTATTACACTCAAAATTTGTGTCACAGGTGCAAAACTCTGAGATCTCTGTGAGACAGCAGTCTGCTCAGCTTCAGTGACCAAACAGTATCTACCAAGCAGCATTTCAGAATTTAGTTCAAAATTACTCATCCAATTTCTCTTGCTTCAAATGCCATAAAACATCAATACTTCTTTAATACTTCTACTTATTTCTTCCTTTCATTCTATCAGAATTGTTGCTTCTTACGGTGACCAGAACTGGAAGCAAGGTTTAAGCAGAAGCCACACACATTTCCAGCAACTAGTCCTATCCAAGATTAAGATGAAAAAGATCCTTGAGTGTCCTCCATATGCCTTGGAAAATAATCCAGTATGGGTATTCAACTAGGTAACCATTATGCCATTTAGTTACATGATGGTTATAGAAAACTGCAACTACGGCACGTATTTCATTGATCCATATAGATACCAACTTCCATGTTGACAAACTCACCATTCAACTTTTACTTAGTAATTTGTTCACAAGCATTTACTTATTTTTATGTCTTGAAATACACAGTTTACTCTAAATACATGTACATTTCTGAAGCCCTATTTTATAGTAGTATAACAGGTTATAATACAAAATGTGAAGGAGAACACATTTTTAGAGTCAAAAATAATTATTTTCATATAGAATATTTCAAAACATTCAAAAAAGA